AAACGTACAAATATTTAGTTTTGTTTTATTAACAACAATCCAGCTCAAAAAGGAGTGAGAAGAAATTAAGGCTTTCAAATTCCCACCCTCTATCATTCTAAATTAACTTAAATGATGTGGTTGCTACAGCTTAGTTTATTCCGTGGTATATTTACAGTTGTGCAACAGAGACATTTATAATAATATGCACTTGATTTGTACAGTGTTTGTCTAGAATGCTTATATTAATATTGTTTCTTTAATACCTTTGCTAATCCTATTGTTATCATTGTCACCATTTATCCATTTAATATTTATAATAATAATGTTCTTTATCATGTATGTTATTAAGTGCTTATGTTATACGTGTGTTAAAAACGTGTGATAAAATGGTGCTGAGCAAGCTCTGAGGATGTGGTGTAAAAGTCTAACTTACTATTCACAGTATTAATTTAACATTGATATATCTGACTTTCTACCTTTTCTGAATATTATTTACAATAACACAGTCTTCCTCAGATTAGATTCCATGATTGAGTTAGTCCATTTTAAGGCCCTTGTTTTGCCCATCATCACCAAAAATATGTTTTCTCTAACTTTTAGGATCAACCAATCACAGCGTCTGAAAGGATGACTCATACCTAGCAACACGGTCGGCCACGCCTCCTCACTAAGATAAGTTGTCGTCCTTTCCTTGCTCAGAGTTCTCTAGAGTGTTCTGGAATAACTTTTAAGCTAAGACTCCTAGCTAGGAGTTTTTAGGTTAAGTTAGGAGCTCTCTGAGAGGACTCTTAGAATCTTTAGGCATACGGCCCCTGATTGTTATTGTTCATAAGAAGGTACCTGTCGATGTATAAACTGGGGTTTTCATGGGTTTTAGAAGTGAAAGATTTGAAGAGGGATTGTATATGTATTGTATATTGATTATAATATCGCAAATAGCTAAAAAAAAAAAAAATCCAAATGCAATATGTCGAATCCCAATGAAATCCAACGTGAAATAACTCCACTTACAACCTCATAAAGGCTGTTTGTTAATAACATTAGTTCCAAGGCCTGTGTGTGCATCCAAATGTTGCATTCCTATTCCTCTGATGGAAAGTTTGTGTTTTCGTGACCAGTTTCTTCCTGGTGACGAGGAAAGAAGGAGGAACCAGTGGAGAGTTGTTTTTCTCTGGAGGCTATTGCACCAGCGCGCCCCACCCACCACACTCACTCTATAGATCACGTCACCTCAGGCATATTTACATCACACTGGAGGATTTCAAACGGCTGCATTATAGGGATGAGATGCACAAATGCTCAAATGAATAAACCCCACAAAGGACATAAATAAAGTGATTGTATGTGGATCCAGGTTTAAGTCATATACAGTAAATGCTAAATATACCACACACACAGATGTTGACCTGTGTGTGTCTCTGTATTATGTTAACTATACTTCAATTGGACAGAATGTATGTCTGACTGTGATTGTGTGTTTGCTTGTTCTGTATGTCAATAGTTTCAATACATTTACAGTTTTATTCATGAATATGCGCTTTTCCCCAAAATAAACAATATTAGTGCCTTGCAAAAGTATTAATAGTAACTTTTTCACATTGTGTCATGTTTTGTCAACAAACAACTGTGAGTTTGTTAAAGCAAACTAATAAATGAGTGTTTTAGTTTTTACTTTCTTAACAAAAAAAGTATAGCTTTGAACAATTCTAACGACTGCTACAGCATCATGACGTCCAAGGAGCACAAGAGAGCTCAGGGATGAAGTTGGGGAGAAGTTTAAAACATTGCAACGTTAAATAAACATTTCTGAATCTGCAAAAGACTTGAGGCTGGGGTGGATGTTTACCTTTCAGCAGAACAGTTTCCCAAAACATACAATAGAATAGGCTGAGAACAAAACATAGTCATGTGTTAGAATGTCCCAGTCAAAGTCCAGATCAAAATCTAACTGAAAATAGAATCATGCTCCAAAAGACTTTCTGCTGGGATTGTAGAAAAGGCGAATAAAGTAATAACTCAAGCCCCAATTGTACATTTTTGGAAAATATAAAATTAATGTATCATTTTGCGTTCACTTTACAGTTCTTTATGACTTTGTTGTGATCATAAACATAACAAAATGTCTGCAAACCACATTAAATACTAATGCTAACCCCAAACCAATAAGTGTGATTCTACAAGAAAACTGTCGCTGGTATAGCTTCAAATAGAACATACTTTTTTTTTTTGTTGAAAAAATGCCAAACTAAATTCTGCGTAGTTTACGAGCCATCCATGTGTTATAGGCCAAAATAATAATTCCAGGAATGTGTTTTGCAAACTTCAGCAAAACTTGTCTGTGATTGTTTGTTATAATTATCTTTCGAACAAAATCTGGAATTGATCGGGTAAATGACGTTACATATACAAGAACACCAACTATGAATGAATTGATTTGATATTTCATTGTCCCCATAAGGAAATGTGTCGTCTGCATGTGCTTCCATACGGGCCTCTGTCAGGAGCAGTGGTTGCTATAGTACCCAGCTAGGTCAGGACTACCAGAGGAGGAGAATAAAATCTGTTGCACAATTATAATTTTTTATGTAACAGGAGAACCCAAAGTAAACTTAGGCAGACACAGGGAGAACATGCAAACTCCACTCAGCAAGGCCCTGTTCTGACCAAGCTTCAAACCCAGGACCTTCTAATAAATTAAGTAAATATATATACTTCATTTGCACATGTGTGTAGGATTACTCATGTGTTTTTAGAGGTGTGTTTTGTCTGGGGGGGGTCTGGACCGTGCTGATTTAGCTTATATTTAGTTGCTTATGTCTTTTCATATTTTTGGTGCATGTGTGTATGTGTGCCCCACCAGAGCAATGTTTGGAAATGTTAACTCCAGCCACATGTACTGAACTGCCAGCCTCTCTCTCTCACACACACACACACACTTATTTCTCTCTACCAAACTAGCATTCTTTCCTCCACTGATTTCACGTGTGGTTTTGAGATAAAAGCTCCCATTCATTAGTCTTACCGAGGAACCACTGCTATGACAGGATATACCCCACCCCTGTCTGGAAGTGAGAGGGCCGTATTTTAGCCTGTGCTGCATGGTGGCCAGACCATTTCAAAACAATACTTACTGTAGGTCTGGATTGTCCTGTGTTTAAGGTGAAAAAAGCTAACATAAATGAATACATTGTTATATCAATTGTCATCGTAAAGTCATGTATATTTTCTAATAGGTTGTTTAGTATCATAAATCAAATGTTTTGTTTATTCATGCAGAAAGACCCCAAGAGAAAATGGACGCATTCTACGGTTACATCTTTGGCATCCTTGTCAAGTGCTTTTATATGGACTTGTTATTCATGAAGGACAACTTGTGACATATTTTCTATAGATGTGTGGCATTATCTGGATAGGCTACTGCTAGCTTTAGCCGGGCCCCAGCAAGGTGGTGGACCAGCACTGATGCAGACTAAATTCACCAGGTCTACTCAAGAATTTTTTCCATAGACCTAAATGTTAACAAAATGTCATGGTTTGCCAGGGCTTGTATTTTTCTTGTATAATTCATACGCTGAGGTTGAATCTTTGATGTGTGTACATGTTGACTTTCACTGAACTAAGAGATCCAATAATATTTTGTTTGTTAATGTACAGCTTGATTTTTGCAGGTAGTGTACTGTAGCACGCAACAAATTCTAAGTTATTTTATCTTACATAAAATAACTTATACAAGTCATTTTATCTTTACTTTAACATATTCTGAGTGACTGAAAGAGAACAACATTAGTGATAGAGGGACAACACAGAAGCAGTGGGGGGAGGGGGATGCCAACAGAACATCAGGAGAAGTTTGTTACATGAGCTGACTTTTGGATATCACTACTTTACATTTCTGATTGAAAAAGTGGATAGTGCAAAGGCCCTGCTCTGATCATAGTGGTGCCCTCATGCCTGCTCTATGCTCTGGCAGGTTAGGGATTTTCCAAGTCATACTCTTTGATACCATACTTTGTTTATTGTTTCTGTTTCTCTTTTATCTTGTTTGACGTTTATCTCCCTCGCTCTATAGTGCGATGGGCCTGAGCACACACTCCCTCACAGTATTTCTGTAATGGGCGTTTTGCCTGTCCTTGACTGTGTGTGGTACTCCAATTTCTTTGTTTTTTTCGAATGCTTTACGGCTGCTGCATTGCTCCCAGGTGCAAAACTATATGACCCGAGATTATTCAATCATTTCTAATTCCACACAGTGTCGTGTTTATTTGCTTCATTAGAGGAAAAAACAATTGTCCAAGGTTGACTCAAGGTTAGTTATATTGCCCAATCATTCTGATGAATACACCGCAGTAACCAGCGTCAAAACAGACAAATCAATCGGATTTGGTTGAGTATACTTTATTATGTGTTTCTATTAAACTATGTGTGTTTGTTAACTGTGTTGAACCTTTAGACCAATCGACAGGTGTTCTAATGAGCTATTCAAATAGAGCCTTTTCATTTGGCATCGCTCAAGTTTAACTTGAATAGATCCAGATTTTACACCGCTTCCCTCTTGTTTATTTTCAGAGCCGTGACGTGCATCGCACCCCTCCACTGTGGGGCCCGTCAGACGTGCGCAGTGCAGCCATTGGCCCTCTGCTGTTGTTGCTGGAGCCTCTGTGTGCGCGCAGTGAGAGCGGAGGGGGCGCTATAAAGAGCAGCCCCCGCGTACATCTCTTCACTCTGGAGGAGGGCAGACAAGGGAAAGGCTGTACTGTTGCACAGGGACCCACAGGCCCCTGTACTTTCAATAACAACACTGCAACTACAGTTCTACCACAAGGGACGAGGTCTGAACTCCTTCTACATCGACTGTTCAATGCCAAGAGGAGCAGCTCGAAGTCCAGCGCACAGAGACCGCTGCTCTCCAGTGGAAACATCCATCTGCCTCCGGGACACACACGCAGACAGCCACTCACACACGGCCCGACGCCGTTGCTTTTCTTTTCTCAATGCATACTCTTTGTGCTCGGGGAACCATGAAACCAGAGATCAACGCTGCCGTGGGATTTCTGTCCAGATTCCTGCGGGTGAAAGGACATGTAAATGACCGACAGGTCCAAACATTCAACCAAAGCCTGCAGGACATTTTATCAGGTAAAAAAAGAACGCGAAAATCTGCCAAACTCCCATCGAATGTGTTCTTTCAGATAAAACTAGGTTTGAAACAAAGGTGTGATTTTGGTGTTGAATAATTCTGTAGGTTTGTCAAGATACAGCCGATAAAAGGCTTTCTTTGTTCTCCAACTATCATTATCCGTGCGCTACCAGAGCGCAATACTATCTCTATCTTAACTTACACAGAAAACCAAGATAAACACAACTATGTTCATTTCAAGGCTTTTTTGGTCATTAACACGGGGAGAACGTCGAATGTTTTACGTTTGGAGTTTTCATTGTGTTGGAGTGAGTGAAGGGGGAGGGAGGCGCTCAAACAAGGAAGTGCGCCTTGATCAGACTGAGCACAACAGCCCCCAGTGTGATCACACAGCTCCAATTACGTAATGCTCAAATACAACTGTGGGATCAGAATATATTCAGTACATGAAGGTACTTTGATCAGACTCATAACCCACACTTGTTTGGCTTTAGTGAAAGCGTATTGTTTAGCCCACTGCGCTCGTTTACATCTCAAAGGACATAATGTAATACAGGAATACTTAAATATTATATTTCACCTTTTCTTACAAAGCGTGTAGAAATAGAAGTAGCCTTCTATTTTCTGATTAACGTTGCTAAGTCTATTTACATACATGATAAAGCTCAACCTCGACGTGATGTCTGCATCATCAATAATCAGAAGCCCAGGAGAGAGGCAGGCTTTGGGGATTTTGTGCTTTTCTGTGGTAAACACTCCAATCTGCGGGCTTTAAAGCTGCTATACATCTGCTCGTCTCTCTTCGTCTCCAGCGGCTCAAGCGGTGGTGACCTACATTCTAAGCCGCGCGTTTATTTACAAAGCACGCAATGCTGGGCTCGAAATGAACGCTCTAAAATGGATGGTTGTCAGTGGGAATTGAATAAGAAACTCATTTGGATTGCAAAAGGTTGCATTATTTTGATGACAATTAGGCTATATTTGATTTATTCTATCACATTTGAAGTTGGGCAATAAAGTAAGAACTATGAGCGAAGCGAATGGGCGTGTGCGTTAGTTATGATTGTATAAACCACTGAGTGGTTAACGTTAGAATGGCACATGAAGTGTCTGTTCTGAGTTAACATTCAACACTTGTGTGTGTGTGTTATTATGACTGCCGAGCTGTATGGAGCTCACCAGTTTAGGTTCAATCATATTCGCCTCGTTGTGGTGGCTTATTACCTTTTTACTTCTGCTCAGGTTTTGCTCTCATGGGGAAATAAACAGGATACACTCTTTGGGTTATGTAGGCTTTCACCTGCCAAGTTTCTGCTTCCTGCCTCTACCCCTCCTTCCAATGCTTTTAAGTAGCGGCCTTGTGGCTCTGATCCTGTCCCAGCTGCTGCTCCAGGTTTCGGAGGTAGTTGTCTTTGTGTCCAGCCTAATGCTCTGCTCGGAGTCTTTTATTAGAGCCAGTTATCCTTTAGAGCACAGCAACAGTCCTGCTTTACAAGAGGGGAGGCATGTTATTACTTGGTATTTGCACAATAGTGGTCCAACTCGTCAACTAGCTTTTTTAAGAATATTGTTGTAAACCGTCGTCCAAGGTGGAGCTGCGTTTGGTGTTTTTGCTCAGTGAAGCATTTTGTCACTGGTATCACCCTGCGGTGGAATGGTAACATAAAATGGGCCTAGAGTTGGCACATGTTTTATGTACCACCCATAAAACGTTCATAGTTCCAAGTATCCTTTGTTTGAAATATCTATTATATTCTGTTGCCAAAGATCATGTTTGTTACATGTTTTGTCTTGTAGCGATGTGTTACTTTTGAAGATGTAGATTAGTTAGCAACATGCTAACCTGCCTTTTTTTTGTTCCTTCACAGAACAATACAAGCACCACTGGTTTCCAGACCGGCCATGCAAGGGTTCAGGATACCGCTGCATTCGTATCAACCACAAGATGGACCCCCTGGTGGGGCAAGCAGGCCAGCGCATCGGCCTGACCATCCAGCAGCTGTACCTGCTGCTGCCCAGTGAGCTCACGCTCTGGGTGGATCCCTTTGAGGTCTCTTATCGCATCGGTGAGGATGGATCCATTTGTGTCCTGTATGAGTCTACGCCCACACCCGTTGGACTGGCCCCCTCCGCCATCAGCTCGACTTCAGGGAGCCCCATGGTGGACAGTCACATCAGCTGCAAAGATGAACTGATGGGGATGGGTAGAACCAGTCCCTCCAAAGCCTACAATATGATGACCGTGTCAAGTTAAAGTGGCTGCTATAACGCAACCATTGATCAGGGTTACACCATGTCTGATCAAGTCTTTGATCAGTCCAGGGTGAGCCTTTTTAAGCTAAGAATATGAAATGAATTAGTGAAAGAAGAAAAAAGAAAGGATGTGGCCTACCATCCAGGTGATGGAAACCTTGCAGATTTGTTATTTTTTACCTTTAGCCATTTCCCCTATTCTGTTTTTGTCATGCCATTGAATCAACTGGGCACTCCCATTTTTCCCGGGGAGGAGGAATGGAACTGTTGGGGCAGCTATACCAACCAACCAGGAACCTCTGGAGTCTGGCTTGTCAACTCGCCCTGGCCGTAACAACATTGAGATCAGCTCCACCACTGAAGGGGCTATCGGCATCAAGTTTGCACTTTTCTGACTTGTGGTTACTATGGGTACACATCCCGACCTGTCTGCATTACACCAAAATCGAATTTACAACAACCCCATTCAAAGAGCTGTTCATTTAAAATGTTAAGGCTGGGGAGGAACCTAGACTATGGTATGGCACTTTTCACACAATTAAATGTAACAACCATTTAAAGTATCTTTTGGACTTTTGGGCACGTATCTTCAATCCCAAGTGGATATAATAATGTTCAAATTAGTTTCCTCCCTAGTCTATCATATTTGAAAATCTACACCCCGCTCTAAGTGCAAGTGAAATTGTATTTCTGACACCTGTTACCTATGGATACCAGTGTGTCCAATTGCACTGTTGCTTACTCATTATTTGTGTGTAGCTTTCCAAGGAAGGTTTAACCTTAAATGAATTAATGAATGTTGTTGAGATTCAAAGTTCCTGTGTTGTTACATGCCCCATTTTCCCACAAAGTTCCACGTCCTGTATCACCAAATTTCAAAGTGTAGCAAAGGGGTCCAGTTAAACCCACCTGTTGGTCATATGACCCTGTTATAATTGATATTGAATGCACTTTGACATGAGATTGTGTGGGATGTTTATTTTTATAGAAAATTGCCTGCATTCCATCCACTCGAATGTCATCTTTTCATGCCGTTAATTTACCCATCTCATTTGAATTTTTGTACTTACTGTAGCTTCTTTGTTGAGAAACTGTTGAGGGAATGCAAGTCTGGGTTGGTTTACACTGTATTTGATAACATTTCAAAACTGTTTTAGCGGCCGTTATTTTGGTTTGTGTGACTCGCCACCAGTTTGTGGCACTGTCCTGGCTTTGTTTTTTGACACGTGTTGGAGAATGCTGATGGTGGTAAACAATGGTCTGAATTAAGTGACTGCGAGACTTAGGCCCATGGAGGTCTGCAACACACTCCCCCTCCATTATTCTTGGGTTTAATTTACCTTTCCAGTATCCATTAAAAACAGTGTATTTCCTTAGTGAAACATTGTACCAAGAGCCATTTGTACATGTCTGACTAAAGTCAGGCTCAAGCGTACAAGGTGCAATATGATGTGGACCAGACTACAGTGTATGCTCCAGCCAGGCAGCTCCCCCGCCCCTCTTTTGGGTGGTCAGTGCCTCAAGTTCCACATTAGGTGTCAGTTCAGACCCCTGTCCAGCCAAAGCAGACCAGCCATCTGACCCAGTGGAGCAGGTAGACTTAATGTGACACATATCAGCATTCATCATGGGGAGTGGGCTGAGGGCGGCAGGCAGGGGCTGTGTAAAGAGAAAGAGTGTGGGCCAGACTTTGTCCAGGGCAGCTAAACTTCCTCCACCTCTCTCAGGACTTATTCAGCGCCCACTGACCAGTGCTGAGCCAGAAACCCTCTGCTCCCCACCATGATGAAGGACAAACCAGCACACGCGCCTCGCGTGACCAATGGGCTAGAAAGAAAGGCCGAAACGTATTACAATAGCTTTTTTGTTGGGGGTACTAGGACATGTTTTCTAATGATCTCACTGGATTGCGCTGCACTTATTTACTGATTGGAGTAGCATCTCTGTTTACATGCATCAGGTGATGTTTGATGTACCCCATTTCACTCCTGTTTTGAGGCTCAGAGGTCTAGAACAGATGCTGGGACAGTGTCACTGGGCCAATCTCTAGACGAATCTGTCACATACTGCTCCACCAGTCACCCCAGACTTGTGTGCGTGTGTTTAAGCTCCTTAGCCCCAGAGGATCATGGGTATTGGAGCTCGAGCTTTTGCTCTGTATCCAGCCCGTCCCTTCCAGCTTGGCTGATGCTCCCCTCAGCGGCTTCTGATGACACGGATCCATGTAACAGAAGGCGTTTTAAATTGTGCTGCCCCACACAGCATGCCGTTGTTTTCCCCAACAGAGAGTGCCCCAACTTTCCCCTACCTAAACTCTACAGTTGCACTGGCGTTCTCTGATGTCTCGGCTATCTCTGTTGCTATTAACATTTTTGCTCTTAATTTCATCGAGAGGATTTTTAATCTGGTAGCCCTTTATATTTATTTGTTTATATACTTATACAAAATGATTGCAATTGAAAACCCAAAATCCTCTCCAACGCCTACTCCACCATTTGAGTTGAAGGCTATTGATAATATTGAAAACTTAAATGGCATCCATTCAGCTCGTGTGGTTACACAATGTTATGAGTGCTTTGAATAGTCAGAGATAAATAGCACATAAAATGCACTAAATATGTTGAAGTGACTTTGTAGACAGAGAAGTCTCTCTGGAATGTATTGCCAAACTCAGGCCTCAGACATTCAGTAATACCCTTATGAAGAAGCTGTGCATGTTAATACATGAAACGGAAAGGGAACAATTTTAATGTTGTCAAATATTGTCACCCTTTAGTCAAATTATTGCCACTTTCACATTGGAGGGTTTCAATATTGTAGAATGTATTGTAACTGTACAAATGATAGAGTACATAACATTACACATGGGAAGTGCCAATAATTGCTTTCAGGAGGTGTTTTAGATGTATTCCTTTTGTATTTCATCTTTTAACATGGATAATACTTTTTCTATGTGGAGCCATTAGTGACAGAAGCATTGGCAAGGACCAAAAGTTGTTTTGGTGAAAATTTGTTTTCATGATCTGTAATTGTAGACATATCCTTTGTTTTTATTTTCTTCTTTCATTTTCTTTTCTATTTTTTTTTCTTATTTCCATAAAATCAGAAAATAGACAAAAAAAATCCGAGCTTACCCAAGAAAAGCTGTTTCTCGTAATCTTATGTCAGTACATCGTGTTCAGTCTTTTTTCCTTGGGTATGTTGTGATGAACTGCTGTAAATTTGTACAGTTCATGTAAATTGATTGTGCGGAAGTTGTACAGATTTCTATATTTTGGAAGAAAAGTTTTTTTCTCTGTAATAAAAGATTTCCTATCTTGGCATCATATCCACCGTGGCTTGCGTTCTTATTGACATGAAAAGCCTGTCGTTGGCATGTATCTGCAATGAAACACAGAGGGGTAGAATCTGAGCTGAACATTTTCATTACTTCTAAAGTCTTATTGGTGGATTATAAGTGGGCCCATCAATATTCGTCCGTAGTTTATTCATGAGATAAAAAAAATCCTGAAGCAATTGATTTTGTGGCTCCATACATCAATTGTTGCCGTGAAACATACCAATCACATGACATTGTGTTTGCGTTGTTTGTTGTTCTTAAAGGCAGGACATATTTGAACTCATGACACGTTGAGAGGAAATACTGTTGTTTTCTGATGACAGACGGTACAGTTACTTAGTCTCCTCTCTAAACTTAAGTGTGTAAGAAGTGCTAACTCGACTCTGGCCCAAATATGCGTTTCAGGACAACAGCTGACTGTGCAGAATGCCCCAGTGTTGGATTAAGGCCCTCAGTCTCCCAGGTTGCATAGCAGCAGGCGGCAAACCAAAAGAGAACACTTTTTGACATCTGCACAAAGGAAACGGGACAAGCTGGTTTAGCAGGAGCAGTGGGAGGAGCTCCACAACGTCCTATGGCACTAGATATAGACTATGGTTAAGTGCTATAGCATTTTACATTCTCTCAATTCATAATTTCTATATTTAAGATTTTGAGCTAACATTAAAAATAATGAAAACAATACACATTTTATATCAACAATGATCATTTTCATTCATAGCTAGAAGGTTATAAAGCACTCCAATTCTACTGCAGAATATGTACTCAAAAGAAAAAAAATAATATATAATGGCATGATAGAGCAAATTTATAGAATATAAAGCGCAGACAAATCACTTCCCATTTAAAAGCATACAATAGAAATAATACACAAACATATTCGGAACAAGGGCAGTTTTTGTGCATCCTTTGAGCCTTTAAGTGAATGGTCTTACTCATTTTGAACAAGGGGAAACAGTGGGGACTTTGGGTTTTAACTGTGTGTTTTATTTTTTTTGTTCCAGATTGTCTGCCTGAATACATTGGGATCAGTTGTTTGTTTTATATGAAAATATTAGTCTGGGGAAATAAATGTAAAACAGGCCAGGAGAAAGACAAACCTCAGTAATCCAGATTTAAGAGGATTTTGCAATCCACTATGAACACGCTTTTGAAATGAGTCACACAACATGACATCTGTCACGTTCCTCTGCAAAACACACTTCCCAATAACTCTGAAAATCACACATTCTGTAGTGGCTGAGTTGTTCAGGACGTGGCATGGCTCACCCTCTGTAAACTCAAAATATGTTTCACTGTTCTGTTAAAATGATGCATACTGTATGTATTGGGGTGTCATAGTGGAATAATAGACAAAGCCATATAAAATTGTGCTTTGAGAGAAAACTTTCCATCCATTCATCTATCCAGAGAATATGAAAATGTTTTCCAGGCATAAAATATGCATTACCTTATTATCTTGAAGACTATTGGATTAGAAGTGTCACAGTAGAGCTAGTATTCACTATGATGTTTTTATCACAGTGAAGTTACAGGAAACAGCATCTCTCTCATAGTGTCACAGTCAAACACACACATGGTTTCATGGTTTTATGACCAGAGAGGTAAACCTCTGTCCGTAAATCCCCCCGTGTGTGGAATTCTGTGGATTCTGTGAAAAC